TGGATCAAGAACTAGTAGGCTACATGCATCAGACATCCCCATGACACACAGTGTGCATACTCCAGCGGTCTTCAGTTTTCTGAAATGCATTTTAGAACTGCAATGGTTTGAGTTACTATGCCTTCTGTTACAGATGCAGATCCAGTAAGATCATGCTGCTCTAGTTTAATTTCTGTACTTCCATACCAGCCCTCCAACTTGCCACTACACTCAAACACACAGAAATGCATTATGCATTACTTAGAGACATCATTTTGACAAGTCTATCTAACACATTAGATATTTAGTTATTAAAATGAAATTATGTTTATTCTTTCAAATGAAATTAAGATTTCAACAAGAGATTATGTTTACTATTATGTTTATTTTTCTCTATTTGGTACATAAATAAATTCTTTATCAATTTGATACAAACTGAAATAGTCTCTGATTGAAGTGACTGGGAAAATGTATACCCTGGTGTTCTCAAAAGAAATGACCTCTGTTATCACTTATAATATGTAACACTTTCATAGCACTTTTCATTGTTAGAGCTCAAAAGCCTTTAGAATATTTAATGCATTTATCCTCATAACCCCTCTAGGGAATAGTGCTATTATCCCCATGATATAGATTTGGAAATGAGGCAGCAATAGACTAAGTGACTTGCCCGAGGTTACAAAGAAAATTTGTAATACAGCATAAAATTGGACCTGGCTCTCCCAAGTCTAAGGCTAGGGTCAGAACTATTGGATCACCCTCTGCTAATATGGTATCTTTGTAGGGACTTCAAAGAAGGTCAGTCTTTTGGAACAGTACTATGGAAGAACTAGTGGGCACAACAGGAGCCAAGGAACTTCAGATTACCAGGTTTCATCACAATAACACTTTTTCCCCAAATAAATTAAGCCTACATGTTTGTGTTCCACAGAACCTAAAGGGAAATTAAAAGGTGGGCATCAAATAATCTTTTACAAATTTGAAAAACTGAAAGGAAGCAAGGAATTCTTTTTCAGGTATAGGTGAAACAATACCCAGTACTCAGCACCAGACTCACAGTAGTGCCAGTCTCAAGGATTAAAACACTATATCATGTGTTAGGCACCCAAATATCATGAGATCAGTTTGAGAGATCATCAGATCTTCCATTTTGCCTGGTGGTAATTGTCACCTAGCAGTGTGAAAGCAGATCCTGTGTGTAACAGTAAACAATAAAATGTAAATCATGTATGAAATACTATGCAGCTTTGAAAATTTGTCATGAAAACTAATAGCTCAAACACTGAAACTAGACATTTGCCTTTTACCATGATGATGATGAATAAATAAATAATATCTGACTTGTCCATTTGTCCTACAAAAATTACTCAAATGGAAGTCAAATGGAATTTTTTTGAAGGGTGGTTTTACATTTCCAAAGAGCTGGACAAGCACATATCTAATGACTAATAAAGTTACCTTCTTACCTCGCTTGGAAAGTTTGGGCCAAATTCTGTTTGGGTCTGGCTTTCTTCCTTAAAGATACCAATACAAACTGGTGTATAAAACACTGAAGATAAAACCCTTGTGTTATGATAGTCCACAGTGTGGCGCCCACCAGTCCAACCTTATTCATCTATGAACTACTATAATTCTGAGAGGATATCTCCCAAACCTTGTCCTTTTGCCAATAGGATAGAATCTACAATCTTGGATCACCAGTGAAAACAACTGGGAGGTACTATGCTTGCAAATGCAAAGTGCCTCCTTAGCTCTATGCTGACAAACTTAGAGGAACCATGCATAAAAGAGACAAATCCTAGCTGATTACCTCCAAATAACAGAGGTTCCTGCTACATACAATGGATACAACACTCACTATTCAAAGAAAAAGTTTACACTGACCTTATTTGCCTTTCCATCTAAGTATTAAGAACATCTCAAAAAGATTTCTTACAATATGACAGGCAGTAGATTTTGTCTATACAAAATCATTTTTACAAAAATTCATGTTGGGTCAGCTGCCAGAGTGGAAACACTAATATATTGTAAATGGCTCTTATATTCTGCTGCTGTTTACAGCACTGTCAATGAAAGCTGTGATCAATTTAACCAATGAATAGCTAGTCTAATAAGTACAGCTGCTGGAACTGAAGAGCTGATATACACAAGGATTAACTCTCCACCGCACTGTACATTGTACATTGTACCAGTGCTTGTGCCATCATTTACATCTGTGCTAAATGGATATAAAACACTCCTACTCTGATGTGGCAGTGTTTTACATTTGCTCGAAACAAAATGGTGCAAAGTAGAGGAAAATCAGGCCGTAGTCAAGTGCACAGGAGCGGGAGTCACAATCTTCTAAATTCTAGGCCCAGCTCTGACACTGACTCGAACTGAATCTTGGGAAAATTACTTAGTATAGGTGAGGGGGCTAACAGGGAAGATCCTATTGCAGAGTTTATTTGGGATTGTTCCATCAAGATGATTACTCCATCCCTAGTGTCCACGGATCCTGGGCTGTGTCTACACTGGGCCACTTATTCCGGAAAAGCAGCTGATTTCTTACAGTAAATCGTCACTGCTTTTCCGGAAATTCAAGGGGCCAGTGTAGACAGCTCGCAGCTTATTCTGGAAAAGCGGCTGCTTTTTCGGGATAAGTGGCCCAGTGTAGACAGCTCGCAGCTTATTCTGGAAAAGCGGCTGCTTTTTCGGGATAAGTGGCCCAGTGTAGACAGCTCGCAGCTTATTCTGGAAAAGCGGCTGCTTTTTCGGGATAAGTGGCCCAGTGTAGACAGCTCGCAGCTTATTCTGGAAAAGCGGCTGCTTTTTCGGGATAAGTGGCCCAGTGTAGACAGCTCGCAGCTTATTCTGGAAAAGCGGCTGCTTTTTCGGGATAAGTGGCCCAGTGTAGACACAGCCCTGGAGTATGCAAAGTAGTACAGGACTATATACATGACAGATATGTCTCTTGCAACAGTTCTTTGTCACTGCAACCAGGGATTCCCTTGGCCATAACTCCTTCCAGGCTTTTCACATGGGGGAATCCCCACCATTGGACCGGGGATAGGTGTGATGCTTATTGGAAAACCATTCACATCCCTATAATCTCAACATCTTGATTTTGTGTTAACTATATGTTCGTATCTTTCCCTTTTTTAACTTTCCTCTTTTCATATTAGTTTAACGCTCACCCAGCTTCTCTCAAAGAGTAGGGACTCACTTCACCTAAGGTAAGGAAACCAGAAGATATATATACTTTTGAAACTCTCTGTCATTATTGTAGCCCCATCCCAAATTTCAGAAATGAGCTCTACATGGAACTGAACAACAGACTTTCAAAACTGAAATCTGATGAAGAAAAACCATTGTCTTAGCAATCCAAATTTGCATCTTTCCAAGGCTGTGTTGAGTAATAAACATTTCTCAGGAATTTGAAAAACATTGCTCCATTCTTGATCTTTTCACTATAACATTGTATCTCAAAATCATAGAAGGTTTCCCAGGACCTCTCTAAACTGAGTCTTCTGACTTTTCATCATTGATGTAGAAAAGACAGAGGACAGGGAGACAAAGACCTCTTTCATTTGCCTCTAATTTATTAAATACCTTCTTTTCTATCCCTTGCAATTTGACATAACTGTGACATTTTGCTGACCTAAAACTCCTGAAAAAGACCAACAGTCAGATGGCAAAAATGAAAGTATTTCAATGGAGTTATGCTTATTTATGCTAACTGACAATCTGGCTTCAAATCTGCACAAAACAGTGGTTTGTGGTTATGCAAAATGACACAAAATCACACCATTAACCATATCCCATATATCATAGTATCATATTTTGTATTTTGGAAGACATTTTTGAAAAACCGAAAAAAATAACGGTTTAAAAACTGAAAGATTTTACTTGAAAAGCTATTTTAATGGAATTTTTCTTACGAAAATGACTCAACAAACTGTAGTCCATAGATTGCAATCTGGTGACACAAAATGCAGTAAATTCAAAAGATAATTTTCAATACTCGGTTACTGCCAAGACCTGATTCTTGTCATGCTGAATTACTGTGTGACAGTACACAATAAATATGTGCTTGAGTGCTTTGCTGAATACCAAGCATACAAGTATTATCTTAAAAGGCCTAAGACCTTCATCTTATGGATATAATATTAGCTGATGATGACCTTGCTCTCTCTACCATTTCTTTTGCACTGTAACAAGTTGCTGTGGTTTACCGCCACCAGGTAGATTTGAACCTGGGATATCTAGGGAGCCTAAGTACTGAAGCCTCTACAGAATGCCATTACACCTATTACTTTTCAGGAAGAACAGCGTTGCGCAAGAGGATTTTTCTTGAGCAAGAAGGGGCAGTGTAGACGCTCCTTCTTGTGCAAGAGCCTCTTCTGAAAAAAATGGTCTGCAAATGAGGCTCGGCAATATTCCACGCTTAGCCTCATTTGCATATTACTCATGCAAGAAGCCGCGAGTGTAGACATAGCCTAGGTGAGTGGGTTACATGGTGATCCCAGAAATATGTTATGCAATAACAACATGTTTACATTAGAGGTCATGACTTAAACAATTAATGTGTTTTAAGAGTATTTAACACATGTTGCAACAGGAATTCTAATTTTACATTAAAATATCTAAGCACTGCTTAAATTAGCAAGAGGTTGTGTAAGGGGTGAACTACTAAAATGCTGTGAGCAATTGAAATCTAAATGTAATGTACAAATGTTTTTCACATCTCTACACTGAAGAGACTTTATTAACATACCCAACTCTGCTGCAGCATTAAACTAATCAGATAAACATGAGAAGGCATTTCCAGGGATGACTAAATATCTACACCATTTCAATCCTGCTTTTATAAATATTACTGAATCAATGGAAAATAGAATAACTGTAACTAAAGGGACATAGAATGGAGATTTTGGCATACACATCAATGAGAAAATAAGCAAAAACCTCTGAAAATAGCACACAAAATACTGATATGTAATCTAAATGTAGTGTTTATAATGTGGCAGTAGTATGTAATCCATACATACATGTAAATTGGAAAAGTATGTAATCCATGGGCAATGGGAAGGATTACCTGCTCCTGCACTAAAACCCCAAAGAAGAAGGTGCTAAAAAGTTTCCCTTGAAGAATTTCCATCACATCATCATTTTGGTGGTGCTGTTTTGGGCAAGGAAAAGAGAGGGGCTGCTTGTTCTTCTCCAAGTCTGGTCCCAAAGCCCTGTAGATCCTGGGGAGATCCAGAGGAGGCCAATGTTGTCTGTGCAGAGGCCCTGTACCTCCACATATTCCCTTGTTACCAGGTCTCCCTATTACCGGGGGTAGGGAATCTGTGGGCTGCAGGCTGGATCTGGTCCACTGTGTCACTTCATCCAGCCCATGGTAAGTCTCTGTGGCACAGGTTAGAAGCCTGAGTCTCAGTGTTCCACTGCAGGGCAGCATGCCTTAGACCCACTGCCTGCTGACTGGGAATAGATTGAGGTAAGCATCACCTGTCCAGTGCGCACAATCCGAACTCCCTCCCATACTGTAATCCCCTGTCCCAGGTTAGAACACCCCCCCCCCATACCTGCTAATTCACTCCCAGATCCTGCATCCCCAACCCATGTGTCAACCCTGAGTCCCCTCCCGTACCAAAAATCCCTCCTGGCGTGTGGGATGACGGATGGCTTATTCCACAATCTGTAAACCTCATTCTATGAGGAATAACGCCTATTCCAAAATAGCTATTTCAAAATAAGGTGTGTGTAGATACTCCACTAGTGCTACTTCAAAATAGCCCCTCACCAGGGACATCCTAAGTTATTCCTCTCCAGCGCCTCCTAGAGCTCTACATTGAGATAACATGTCTACATTAGGGAAACCTGCCTTGGACTAATTTTGAGGCTTCTCTGCAGTGTAGACGTGCTATTTCGAGATAAGCTATTTCGGAATAACTCTTCCGAAATAGCTAATTTCTAAATAAGCGTGCAGTGTAGATGTAGCCTCTGAGACCCTGTGAAAGGGGAATTCCCTACCAGGGAGGACCCTCATTGAAAAGGTCAGACATGTCGTCCTGGCAGTATAGCCTGCTGTTGAGGAACTCCACGGGTGAGGAGAGAACCCTGGCTAGGCTAGACAAAGGCCATTCTATCCATGCAGATCCTGATCCTGGTGAGGGGCTCTCAGTAAATGAGACATGCTGCAGAGGCAGCTGATTCTTCCTTCCATAGGTGCTTGTGGCACTGGCTGCTGAAGTCAATGGCAAAGTTTCCTTGGCACAGGTTCAAGTTCTAGAGAACACTGAGATCCACATGCAAAGAAAGCCCGTCATGGTCATGTATTTCTTACCCCACCTCTTTAATAAATCTTATTTGTCAGAAGTAACCAAAATAGGATTTGAACTATGAAGACTGAAGAGCACCTGGGAAATCCAGATGATAAATGAAAAGGACAGAGAGGTGTTTTAGGCCCAAGTCCTGAAGTCTTAACTCTGTTTTACTTAATCAAAACTGCCACCGCCTTCACCGAGAGTTTTACTTGATTAAGAACTGAACAAACATCAAGGCAGGACTTCCAGATTTGGTCCGTAGTTGGTAAAACATAATCCCTTTTGCGGAAAAGGGATGAAGATTAGACACAGCGCCATTGCAAATGAAGCGGGGATTTAAATCTCTCCCGCTTCATTTGCATGAACATGGCTGCTGCTTTTTTCCAGCTCGGGACTTTGCCGGCAAAAAGCGCCAGTCTAGACAGGGATCTTTCGGAAAATAAAGCCTTTTCTGAAAGATCCCTTATTCCTCTTAAAATCAGGAATAAGAGATCTTTCGGAAAAGGCTTTATTTTCCGAAAGATCCCTGTCTAGACTGGCGCTTTTTGCCGGCAAAGTCCCGAGCCGGAAAAAAGCGGCAGCCATGTTCATGCAAATGAAGCAGGGGAGATTTAAATCCCCGCTTCATTTGCAATGGTGCTGTGTCTAATCTTCATCCCTTTTCCGCAAAAGGGGTGCAGTCTAGACACAGCAGTGATTGAAATGAGAAAGAAAAGAACATAAAGCCATATTCTTCAGTTAATTAAGCCAGTGCAAACTGATTGAAGTCCCCGGATGAGATCCACTCCTGCAGATGTAGGAAGGTAGAGTTTTGTACTAGCAATGGCTGCCACATTCCAGGGAGTCACAGTCAGGCAGGGGCAGGAAGTGTTTTCAGTGACACCATCCCTCATGATTCCATCAGGAAACAGCTTTAGTTACCATATTGCTCCCAGACAGTGCCACTCAGTCCAGGCTGTGCTGGCTGCATACAATTCCTTTGGCATTAACCCTAGGGTTGCCAGATGGTTTCAATAGAAATACTGGACACACTTGACATCACAATCTACATTACATCTTATTTAGAAAATACCGGACATTTATATTTTCTCAATTTGTTTCCCAAACAGAAAGCTCAAATACTGGACTGTCCCATTCAAAACTGGACACCTGGCAACCCTACATAACCCAGCATTGAATTCAGCACCTTCATTCAGGCTAATTCATGTCCTGCATCATGCCTTAGTCTTAAAAAAAAAGATCTGCACAACACCTCCTTATCTTAATGGAGTAGTCCCATTGAATAAGAGATCGGTTTACAAAAGTAGGATGTTCTGGCCCTCTGTAAACATGTAACATATTCGCTGCTTACAGGGATCACTTCAGAATCCAGTTGGAGTCAGACAGCGATGTCATAGACACTTTGAGAGAAGGTTCTAGAAAAGGTGCAACAGAAGAAAGGCTCAATTAGAGGCAGATTGTTAGTGAAGTTGTTTGCTCAGGAACTACCCAAGAAATTAGCGGAACCACTAAACCAGATAATGGAGGCTGACCCTTCTGCTGCGACAGCTCTGACTTTGTGCCACATAATGTGAACTTTTTATTTCAATTGCCTGGGGTCTGTGCTAATCTTTCTGAACAGAGTAGGATCTTATGGATGGCAGAAATTAGCCCGAAATCAGGGACCAACACAAGTGCAACAAAACAAAGCAGAGATTATTTAAAAAAATAAAACAGCTTGTGATTTGCAAGCATGACAGAGTAGGAAACCACAGAATGTCTTTCTGCTCTTCTGGATGATATACATACAGACAATAATGCTCCTGTAAGGATATTTTTCTACATGCAAGTAGGTCAAATAATTATATTTCTGACCAAAGTGTAATTAATCTCTGGAATGAATGCAATGTTAAAGTGGAGATTTTAAATCTTGGGTTCCAAAATTAGTTTTCATTCTATCTCCTAATGAGGGGTGAACAGGGTGATTTGTTTGTTTTCAGGAATCCTACTGTTTCAGGTAGATTTCCAGAGTATGAATATCATCTGATACCAAACATCAGCTTCCATGCCTTTGCCCTCAGAGAACAAGACCTCCCCACAATAACATCCATCATCCCAAATAGGTGTTAGCTGCATCCCCAGTTTATCTGGACCTGCCTTTTCCGGGGCAATGAGGAATTTCTGGTATTTTACCCACCTGTCAGCTGCATTGAATTTCCTGGCACAGCACAGTCTTAAGGAAAACACGGGGGTCTCTGCACAATCCCAAGCATCTCCCGGCCCTTTCTGCTGCCTCCAGGCGATTTAAACCCACCAGAGGCTTCTGCAGCCACCACTGATCACAATGGGTATCCAGTAGCCTAGACAGGGGAAGGCTTTGCCTTCCCAAGATAGCAGGCATGGTCCCTCCCATACTCCGCCCCCAGAATGCTTGCTGTAGGTGTATTGAAGCGGAGTGTTGCTGCCTCGGAGCGCCTGCCCGCCCCAGTGCTCCAGGACCAGGGAGGATCAGGCCACACAGCCGCCCCTCTACCTGGTGCTCCAGTCTGGGGAGGCAGGGGCATGTGCGCTCACCCCCTACACTCCTCTCTCTGTGGGGGGCAGGGCCTCAACAGAAGGGGCAGGGCTGTAGGTGGGACTGAGAGCCTGCCTCCCCCAGGCCTTGCTGCACTGGCTGCCCATGCTGATCGCCCAGCAGGGCTAGAGTGGTTTCCAGTTGCTACTTCCACACTACTGCCACCATGTCCCTGTGGCCCAAGAGTGGTGTGTGCAGATTTATCCCATCCACAGGATGATTGGGGTGTCCGCTCTGTTTCCTGTGTTTTGAGGGGCCCCACTGAGTCTGCCCGCAACTGTCTCATAGAGGGAACAGCAGTCTCCCATACTGAGGTTAGTCTGTGAGGCACTGGGTGAGCTGGGGCTGGTAGCAGGGGCTGGGCCCCCCTGCACTCATTGTGGCAGCAGGACCTGCAAGCAAGTGGAATGACATAGCCGCTTCTGCTCCTTTCCTCTGCCATCTCCCAGGAGAGGATGGTCGCTCTGCTTCTCCATAGAGGGCAGTGCAGCGGAGCAAAGGCTGCTGCCTTGTTTCTCCGTCACTCCCGCTGCCTCTTCCCCAACACCTGCCCCACACCTGGCCCCCTGGTAATTTTAAGACAAGGCTGGGAGATGCTTAGGAGTGTGCAGAGACCCTGGCATTCCCCGGGGCCCTGACAGAAGGGAGTGCCTGCTGGCCCACTGGAAGGATTTGAATCCTTTGGGGAGTGGGCATGGGGAAGAGGGTAAAGCAGGGGCAGAGCAGAGGCTGGGCTTTGGGGAATGGTACAGCAGAGGCGTAGCGAGGGTGTTATGTGCCCGGGGGTAAAGGCAACATTTGTCTCCCCCCTCCCGCCGCTGGCGCATGTCTGAGCCAGACCCTGGGGGGGGGGAGCTTGTACTGCATCTTTCCCCACCCCCTCCAGTCTGGGGCCAGGCCCCCACACATACAGCTCATCGGCGGAGATGGAGGAGGGTCAGGCTGGGGGCAGAGAGGCAGGGAGGAGGCTTCAGCCACCGGCGGCAGGCGGGGGGGGAGCAGGCGAGCCGATGGGTGGCAGAGGAAGCGGAGGGGAACTAAATTGGTGCCCCCCTAGTGTGGCAACTGCCCCCCCTCGCTACACCACAGGGGTACAGACAACCACAGGGATGCAAGGACTCACATACTGATAGTTGCGCATGGGCCGGAGTGTGCTACTGTTTGGGCCATAGATGGACTATAGGCAACGAATTTGAGACTATTTACATGAAATGACTTTCCCTCTAGGGTGAGCTCATGTGCAGCCATAACCCCCTGCTTAACAGATACCGCACAGAACGCAATCAGGGCAACTTGGAAGGAGATCCAAGCACCTGACTGAGCACCCCTGCTTCTTCTCTGTTGCTTGTAGCTGCTGCCAGGGAAAATACCAAATCCTGAGCAGCATCCCCATGTCCCACCTTCTATTACCACCGAGAAAACTGGCATTGAATTCTCAAGGGCTCACCACCTCTGCTTCACAGGAAACTACTGGGACCCTGTGTAGGCCTCCATTTTGTTTACACTGTGGTGATTGAATGCAAGAGCATGAATGTGAGAGAAATGAGGCATAAGGAAGAGGTAGCCACCACAGAAAAGTGGACAGAAGGTAGCCAAAAGAGATGGGATGATGTTCAAGAGAGGCAGGGAGAGGAAGGTAAACCGCAGCTATTTATTTTCAAATGCTCTGGCTTTCAGTGATTTTGGGGCTGGAGTCCCAAGACACTATTGAATTAAGCTACCTCCAGAATCTGTGGATCATTGAAAATAGTGATAGAAATGGAGCCATGTTAGTCTGGTGTAGCTGAAGCAAAAAACAGGACTATGTAGCACTTTAAAGACTAACAAGATGGTTTATTAGGTGATGAGCTTTCGTGGGCCAGACCCACTTCCTAAGATCAAATAGTGGAAGAAAATTGTCACAACCATATATACCAAAAGATACAATTAAAAAAATATGTGTATCTGCTTCTCTGCTACCCTGGACCCTCAGGGTTTTGCAGAGGACGGGAAGTGCTATATTTCTGCCAGAGCTCTGTAGGCGCTTCACCAGCAAATGTCTCATGGCATATATGCTATATAAATTAGCATGTTACCTGAGTGCCCTGTTGAACAACAGTCAAGTTGTTATTCTCTTATTCTGATTATTTGCATTGCTTGAACAGATCTACTGTTTTTATTATAACTGCCAGGTATCATGTGATGTACCATTGATAGCTTGGTTCTGTCCAAACTGTTTTTATTAATTTCCTTTTATTTTTACTTGTAGAGATGTGTGTGTGTTCAGATACTCCCATGCTATCAAGGTTCATTATAGAGATCAGATGGATTTTAGTCTACAGAAGAGAAGAGTGAAGGAGGATTTGATAGAAGCCTTTAATTTCCTGAAGGGCAGTTCCAAAGACGATGGAGAGAGGTGGTTCTCAGTAGTGACAGAACAGGGAGCAATGGTCTCAAGTTGCTGTGGGGGATGTTGGATATTCGGAAAAACTATTTTACTAGGAGGATGGTAAAGATCTGGAATGCATTACATACGGAGGTGGTGGAATCTCCATCCCAAGAGGTTTTTAAGTCCCAGCTTGACAAAGCCCTTGCTGGGATGATTTAGTTGGGGCTGGTCCAGCATTGGGCAGGGGGTTGGACTTGAGGACTTCTTGAGATCTCTTCCAACTCTATGATTCTTTGATACCATGATTTCTTCATAAGTTAAACTTAAAGTAAACTTAGAAGTGATTTTAACAGAATGCAAATTCTTCCCACTCCTAGAATTCTAGATAAAAAGACCTAAAGTTTGTCAGTCTTCAATTGAAGTATAACTGTTTTTCAGTACTAGCTCTCACGTTAGTATAGATTCTGAAAATGTCATTTAGCTCTTTTTACAGAATGAATTTGATGCCCTTGCTTTTGAGTGCATAAGCTGTGGTGATGATAAAGTAAAGATAAAGCCATCTTTTTAAAAACTGTGACTGCTTATATTATGGTACAATATGAATCTGAATCATTAAACATTGTTTTTGTGCCCTATTGTTCTCCTTAGATTCCTTGTGCATACCCTGGGAGCTTCAAACATTTAGAGCTGCCTCTGTCAGAAAACTATCAAAAATGGATAGGTGGTGACAATTTTTCTATCTTGATTCATGGCCTATAAACAGGGATAGAAAGAAGATAAAAATCTATATGATCAGCATTATGTGGGGAGAGCCCAGTTATTCAGCCCTTGTATTCTACATTTAAATATATCCATTAGGAAGATTTATGGAGATACATGAAACATTTTCAGGTAGGACTAAGAATTACATTTTAAATTGCTGTAGAGTTGGGGTTTATGGACACTGATTTTCTGTTACATCCAAGTATCAGATGCATTATTTGTATTGTTATGATTTCTGAAAAAAGTCCATACATACTATGTTGAATATTTTGTTATATGGTTAATTCAAATACTGGAACCTTATATGTGAGTGAAAAATAGTGACTGAAAGTTTCAACAAAGTGCTCTTTAGAAAATCAAAATGTATTACTGTACCGAATGTATTCCCAGAGTCTGATTCAAAAAATATTTATCTTGGTAGTCTGAAAGAAAACAAAACTCTACCAGAACAACGGTGTGGTGTTGGTTGAGCAAACAAATGTGTCAAGGTTGTGTAACCTACTCCTAGTTGACATTTAGTCAGTGTTTATAATTTGTATAACTTAATTGCTAAGGAATAGGTGAGTGTCATAAAAAGAAATACAAACAGGCTGCTGTCCCTTGCAACGGCCTGCCTGCTTTGAAGGGAACCCACAGCACAGGGTTGATACTGCTTATCCTAGGATTTATTTTGGTCCTGAGAGCTTTCATAATAGTGAAAGTCATGTTTTGGTTGCACATGCATTGAATGTAAATCAGCACAAGTCACACAACTCGAGCATTTATATTCATTTTTTTTTCTAACCACGGTATGCCCGAGGGGTAACTTGTGCTGTAATTTATTTCACTGCTGAATTTGGTCCAGGATTTGCATTTACATCACTCAAATAAAATCACAAGAGGCCCAACTGGAAAAATACAAGTGGAGGTAAACTCTGCCTGCTTGAAATGGCACTAGGAAGTGTCAGCCACTAGGCGTTGTGCAGGTCTCCACACTGTACGTTTCTTAAACGTTTTGAGGCCACGGAACACCAAACAATAATATTTTTTATGCAGAACACCTATGAAAATTTTCTTCAGAAAAAATTGTTGTCAAACAAAAAAGACAAAACCAAAGAAGTAATAAAATCAAAGAAGAGGTTGTGGCACTCCTGCGAGTTGCTCAGGGAACAGCAGTGTTCCCAGAACATAGTTTAAGAAACACAGCTGTACAGCTTTGCCGCAGGACCTGTTTGGAATGTTTGCAGTGGCAACGCTCGTAACCTCCCTCACAGACTCCAAATCCCAGGATGCAATGCTCGGCTTGCTCCCGGCTGTGCATAGGACTGCTAGGAAGCACTGCATGCTGGGGCTTGTAGTCTCCTTCGGGAAGACCGCATTGTCTCTCTCTTTGCGCGGGTGCTGCCGCGTCTTGTTCCGTCCTTCTCGCCCCCAGTGCTGTGCCGTGCCATGGAAGGGTGGCGGGTGTCCTGGCTAGCCAGCCGCTTTTCTGCTGCCTTTAAAGCAGGGGGTAGAGGGTGTAGCAGCTGCTGCTAGGTGTGGGTGGGGGCAAGGCTGCACATAGCCCTGCAGCCTCCCCATTGCTGCAGCCGCCTTAGCCTTCTCCTCTGCTCCCCCTTCCCCCAGCCTATGTGTAAACAAAAGGAGGGTACTATCTTCACCCTTGTCGTTGCCTGTGTTTCTCAGCTCTCCACAGAGAGG